AATTCACAAATAGATTTCTGTGATACATAGGCTTGATGTATGATGAAGCCAATAGAGGACTGTCTCAGAATGAACAATGTATCAACAGCCTCATGACAGCTAGACAGACTAATTCAAATTAATACAAAAATAGACCATATGATATATTGGTTTTCTAATAGTGCTTCATCTTCCCATAAATAGAAATTCCACCATGAAGTGTAGATAATATTTGGAACCCTTTGAGTTCTCAAATTTGAGTGACTTGTATAAATAAAATCCATGACAACACCTGGAAGAGAAAACAGAATCACATTACAGTTTCTGTGGCAAAAGGACCTGTTTAGGAGACATTAACATAAGTGGTAAAAGCTATTAGAAATTTTCGTAGGCTAAAGTGATAAAACTCTTACTTCCAAGTGTTGAGATATAAAAGTCGTAAGTTCAATTTTCAGCAGAAATTAGTTTTTCACATTCTGGTATGAAGAATACAATAGTCTGATATCCATCTATGAATAGAGGACAAGCCACAAGACAAAGGCTAGCTCCAGAATAATTTAGAAGACCTATTCTCTGATCTTCCAAATACTTGAGAGAAAAGAAAATGGAGAAAAATACCTATATTGAAAACCCTGTCATGTTTAGAAAAATTGCTTCCACTCTATTATTTAGATGCCTCCAGCAGCAATGAATATAAAACTGGTTTAAACAAGAAGCTTGATAGTAATTGTTGGCTAAAATAACTGACAGTCAACCCAGTGTCTCTCACTCTTTCCCCAGTAACGCTTTGGCCCGGGATCTTTCCACATGTTGGTTTCGTGGGGAGATTGTTATAGGTCATGTCTTGGGCTTTGGCTCCATTCATGACAATAAAAAAGGGGGAATGGACAAAAGGCCACCTAAACAATGATTTCCAGAAGGTAAAGGGGTAATTTTGTCATAGTTTCCCAGAAAACTTGTTTTCACACCCCATTGGTCGAAACTGGGTGAAATGTCCATTCTTAAACCAATCACAGATGCAGGAGGATTGAGTTACTGTCAGTTCAGTTGAGCCCAGTTTAGCAGTTGGAGGTGAGGACTGTGGCTTCCCCTGGCACACAGGAAATAGATGAGATGAGATGAAAAGGAGGAATGGATAAAATTTCAACTTTTGTTTTGAATATAAAAGTAAAAAATGACAATGTACATTATAACCATATGCCAATCTATAAAGGAAAATAAATCTTTATATTCTTCATGCAAATAAGCTAATATCTGTTTTTTGAGAACTGAGCTTCACTGATAAAATTTCATTTTATGTCTAATATGGGGTTGTTGTGGTCAATAATTTTATTCCTATTATAGAATCATGTTGCTATAAAGGTACAACATTTCCTGTCATGCCAAACAAAATGAAAAGATGGCTAAAAACACAGGCTAGCCTGTAAAATTATCTGTTCCTTATTTTACTGTTCTTCCTATATAGTGATGTTCATCCCAGCACCCCAGTGATTAAATGTAGATCTGAGTCTCTTCCTAACTCAGCTCCATTTAGCACTGAAGACTGAAATTTTCATTTGAAGATTCTACTTTTCTCAAATCCAAATTTATTAATAAATCAGATGCCTGTCTCTTCTATGCAAGTGAAGTTGGGAATACTAGATGAATACTTCATGCGAAGTATATATTGTATTTGAACTCACATGCTATGTGGTTGGAGACCTATTTTTATTCTTAACAGTCATAGAAACTGACTGTGCTGGCAAACTGTGGTCTTGCTTTTAGATAGAGGGATAATAGCATTCCAGTTTCCAAAAGTCAAACCCTGCCACCATGCCCTAAAACCTTTTTTTTGTGCTCCTACTAATTATAGGGAAATTTTGGATACAGACATCATAAAACAGGGCAAAATTTCCTTCATACTCTTAGATTCTGAGAATTGTACTATCAAATGATGCTAGATCTAAAAATAGAGTAATTCCTCTGGAAATATCTATCCTTAATTCTGTCCCACTCTTTTCTGGTCCAAAGTTTAAGTCACAGAATATTCTGTGGCTGAGGTTATAGTATTTAAAATAATCTCATGCATTTGCAGGATATTTTACTGAAGGTACTAGGTCTAACTTATCTAATTAAGAAACTGGATAAAGTCACATCAAATTCTAAACATTTCTATATTTTTTGTCCAAATACACATATGATCTTATTAGCATATTAACATCAGATAGGTGCTTCAATATTACTTTCAATTTGGTATATTTATTAGGGTATTGCCAGCTATTATTCAAATAAGCCTTAAAATTTAATAGTTTACCACTCTAGAAATTGATTTCTTACTCATGTTATAGCCCAAAATCTGTCCTCAGAGGACAGCCTTGCATAATGCAATTCAAAGATCCAGGCTTCTTCCGTTTTATTGTGTGTCCATGCATGTGCAGTTATGGGTTCTTTCTCTTTCAGCAGGAGGAGAAAAGAGTTCAGAGCATCCATCTGTTTCTTATCCCTTTTAGTCTACATGTGACACAAATTGCTTCTGCTTACATCCTTTGGGAAGAGTACAGTTCCACGAGAAGTGAAGTTGAAATGCAATTCCTGGTGGGCAGCCCTTTTCCAGAAACCAGTCTGTTCTATGAAAGAGGAATACGAAGACTTAGAGGACCAGTGGCTGCTGGCCAAAAACAGTAGTAGAGTTATTGAGACATTGTCTTAATAATCATTTAAGAAAACAAACAGTCATCTTGGAAGATACTTCATAACCCTGCAGAAATGAGATTTGGAGCTTCGAGCACTTGGGCATTTCAGCTTCTATTGCAAACTAAAGAACAAGAAGGTGCTGGGAAAATCCATTTATCCTGAAAATGTATTTTTTAAAGAAAACTCAGACCTCTAGACATGCATGCAGTGTGAAGGAGTGCAGTGAAACCTCCCACAAATAATGATTATAAAAATTGAAAAAAAATTTAAATTCAGCTGTTTAAAAGAGCAAGATTTTAAACAAAGCAGGCAGAAACTACAGGAGGGGTTGCTTTTGAAAGACAACTGTGGTAAGAATCACAAATATGTGGCTCTTTGTTTCTGTCCGAGAATACTTCCCTGTCCCCACTCCCCATCAATTTCCGAGCTCCAGTAGCAAAAAAGCAGAGCCTTGACAGCTCAAGGTAACAGTAGACAAAATCAGAGCTGACAGAATATCTGGAAATTTAAGGGGAAATTCCTGGAACAACAGAGCCACATAAGGGGCAACCCCCCAGACCTTAATACAATTCAAACTACACGTGCACAGGGAAGTTGTGTCAGTTATCCATTTATTGCCTCTCAGCTCCAAATTCATACTTTCTGCCTGCTCTACAAAAATGGATGTGGACCTTTTACGTAATCTTTCCTTTTCCAGCTGACAGTGAACATTACTGGTAGAGGGCTCTGGATAGACACTGGAGGAGGGAGAGTTGTGCCTCTTGGTCTGCTGTGCTCCTGGGACACCTGCTCAGCCTCTTGCTGCTTACACAGCTCCGCAGGCTCACTGTAGCTCCTGCGGCCTCCGTGGCTTCGCTGGGGCCCTGCTCCTGCGGTGTGACAGCACCAGCGGCCAGCATGTACCTTAGCATCTCTGCAGGCAGACCTCCCTTGGCAGGCTTTGCCTGGCATTCTAAAGGGTAGGGTTCTAGCAAGCTCCGCCTCCACAGTAGCACAGTGACTCCCTCTACTATCCAGGGAGCCAGACCTATGCCTCTCCAGCAAGGCCTTCATTCCAGCCCTGGAACCTCTTCCTTGGACTTCAGGTGTTAAGATACGCCTTTGAGTCGAAACTCGCCTTCTCCTGCACAAAGCCTTCTAACATTTTTACACGCTGTCTGCAGGAAGGTGAGGCACGGGTTGGAAAAATTCACACAAAGCTGTTACTGAGAAGTTCGTAGGGTGTTTCTAAGGAATCTTTGAAACGTTATACTTTTATGATATTTTTGGAAAGAAGACATGTAGTTCAAGCTGCAAACTGTTAGTTAAATTGAAAGCTTTTAGAACAAGCCACCTCAGAGGGGGCAGGGATTAAGTTAGTAATTTTCCTTTATGTTTTATGGAAAGTATCTAAAATGAAATTTTGAAATTTAATTTTTCCTGAAATGACTGGGAATAAATGGTGTATTCTCATGTTTCAACTATAAAGGTTATGATGATACTTGATTAGTTGTTTAATTTGATTAGATTCAACTGCCTTATAGAACCCATTTAAAAAGTGCTCCGCTCATCTCAGGCACAGTGAGGCAGTGTCCCTGGAGTTCAGCTAGCGTTGCGGGTAGGGATGGAAATGGGAGTAGCATACAGCCAGGTACTCTTACATGCATTTAATAGGTGAGATTCCTGTTAATTCTGCAGCATTTGAGTCTGCAGAGACCCTGAGGAAAATCTGTGCAGCAGAGAAACTCAGGGGGAAGAAATCTGATTGTCCACTATGGCTGCTAAGTGTCTTGAGGGTGTTTTCAGGAAGTGGAATATAACCTATTATATCTGATTTTACCCAAATGTGCCTTTAAAAATTTTTTCTCAACCAAAATGTGTAGAAAACCTTGGAATAGGAGGTTAACCAGTCTGAATAGAAGTTGTCTTTTTTCCATACACATGAAGTTATCTAATGAGACAGACACTTAAATATTTGAAGACTTTTAGACAGTTTTAGGGTCAAATTATAACTAAAATTTTATTTTTTTAACATTAAAAAAGTTCTAATTATTAATCTAGCAAATATCTTATACCTTCCTAAAATATAATGTCTTAGATTCTAAGAGGTCTTGTAATAATAAGGTAACTTCTATTTCAGAGGGGAAAGAGTATATATAAGTGAATGTAAGGTGGGTAGTAACAGTCAAGTTTCTCACTCTGGGGAAGGGAAAGCTGCAGGCCAGAATGAACTTTGTGCAGCTGGGTTAGAGGTAGAAACGTCAGCATGAAATCATGTTTAAGTTGCTATAGGTGAATAGATACAGAAATAATTGCAGACACCTGTGTATATATTTCTTGGCTTACTCAGCTCTGACAGCAGGAATGGCATGGAAGTGGGCATAGCAAGTACCCAGATCATGGCATTCCCTGACAGAGGGAATCAGCTCCTTGGAGAAGTGACCGATTCTAGGGATGGAGTAGGGAAGGGAAAATGCAAGATAAAACTGGTGCATCTTGTAGTACCAGAAATGAAGGACATGCTCAAAAAAAAACAAGATTGGGGAGATTGGGGGGCATGCCAAAGGGACTTAGGAGCCAACCTGAAAGAGCTCCTGATGGCCAGAGCTGGGACAACTTGAGCCACAAAATAAAATAGTGTCAGATTATAATCCAAAGTATAAAATACTTATCCATGAGTACATACTGATATAACTGAATGATCAAAGAAAAAAGTCAGGGAGAAGAGACAAACCTTCCTTATAGAAGAATTTCAAAAAATGTATTCCCCCCTAGGGCCCAGAGGTTACTCTCCTTTCCCCGACCCCTTCCTGAGTTGGATGCTCTTACAGACTTGCCCCAGAGAGGAGAATATGAAAAGGGGGGGAAGTAACTTTACTTTGGAAAAATATGACAAACTGTACCTTGGCCAGGTCCAAGGTTAACATCCTAAATGTTAAGTCATGTTGATGGTACGTACCCTTGACATGATATGATATGATGAGAATGGCATTTCACCCCTGTGGTCTTCCTTGCAAAAACCAGTATTCCCAGACTAACCATGAGGAAAGCATCAAACTCATTTGAGGAACATTCTACAAATTATGTGACCTCAAAACTACAAGTCTGAAAAATGGTTCCAGACCAGATGAGACCATGGAGGCACGAAGACTGAGTTCAGTCTGGCAGGATGGATGGACTCCCCGAACAGGAAGGGACAATAGGTGGGAAAACCTGAAATCCGAATAAAGTGTGGAGTCTAGTTTGTGTTACTGTGCCATTGTTGGCTTCTTAGTTCTGACCAATGTAGCCTAGTAATAGAAGATCTTAACAATACGGGAAGATGGATGAGAGGTGTGTGGGAACTCTCTATCATCATTACAACTTTTCTATAAATCTAAAACTACTCTAAAATAAAAAAGTTGTACTTAAAAAAATTAAATCTGTATGAATTGACAGACCCCAATCTTTCATTTTACCTCACAGTGGAATGATCTAGAGGAAAGAAAAATTAGATCACGTGCCAGTGAATTCCTAAACTTAATCCATGATGTCTCAAACAGGCACTCAGTTGAAATTAACAACAATTATAGAAGCTGTAAGAAGACAAGGGGAGAAAAGAGACTATGCAACAAATATTTCATTTTTTTAAATTAAAAAAATAAAAATCTCAACCTAATAACAGTTGATTGCATGGAGCCATGAGCTTAGAGTCTTTCTAATCAGCAGATGTGAAAGATGCAAAGGATACAATAATTCATTATGAAGTAATATTTTAGAATTCAAAGGCATTCAACCCCACACAAATGTATACCAAACAGTGCTTTTAGTACCCCAAGATAAATTGTACTATTAAATCTGCTATTAGAGAGATTTGATTATTTCCCTATTCCTCAATATCATTTATTGTGCTTTTTATATCCCATATAACTGTCATGATTTAGCTAGATACCTTCCTAGAAGAGCCCTTGAACAATTTTTGCAATGTAAGTATTTTCTGGAAAAGGGCTCTTAAACTAAGTTTAATAAGATTTATTATGTTTCTCCTAAAATTTCTGGATAAGAATACTTCAGAGTAAGAAGAATTTAAAACAGAGCATTTTTAGCCTTCAGAAAGTAGCTGATCCAATTTAAGACCAATTAGACTCATACTTCAAAAAGACATAGGAAGAACTTTTCCAAGGTCAGAGTCACAGGCAGGTTTTTTGAGGACACCTCAATTTCTGCCATTATAGGGCTTGGGAGGCAGATTGCTTAGCACACAGGTTTCTGACTCAGAGCTAGGACTGAATCCATCTTCTTCATGTATCATCTATGTGATCTTTGGGCAAAAAGGCTTTTAAAAAAATTTCTAATTTTCTGTAAAAAATAGGTAAGTCATAGTAATTACCACACCAGGATAATGAGTGAGTCAAATGAAATAATTTACATGTCAGCACAGTGCTTAGCACATGGTAAACAATTAAAAATATAAGTTCTACAGTTACTACATGTCTGTGATTCCTTTTCCCCAAACTGTAACACTTGGCCTATTCTTCTAATTCCATTATTCTACATATTAGTAAGTAGTGTTACATACTGGTGATAGTGTCACACTAGTCATTCATTGTCTAAGGGGGAACTGGGGAGAGACATAAATTCCCAGGCCCTCCTCTGTGACTGATGGCAAAGCTGCATCAGTGCCCTGCTCCCTGTAAACAGTCTGCAGGTGCTGACCTTTAAAGCAAACACAGAAGGAAACCAGGAGAGAGGTGATCAGCAAAGCCACGGGATGTGGACAAAGCACCCCCAGCCTTTACAGTCATGCAAAAATACCCAGTCCTCTGCCTTGTCACTGGGACACTGTCCATCCTCTGCCTTTTGCATTTCAACTCAGATGTAACTGTCTCAGGAAAACTCTGCAAGATTTTAAGTTTGTGATGATACACATTTATTATCATGTCTGTTTGCCTAAAATTTTCTCCTTCCTCATATTTTCCACCAGCATAGCCATGCCTGCTCTTGCTTATTGTTTTACCCTGGAGCTTGGCAAATAGTAGAGCCCTCAATAAATATTTGTGGGAAAAAGTAAAGGTGAGGGCAAGGCAGAAAATGGGGGCAAAATACCCAGTCCTCTGCCTTGTCACTGGGACACTGTCCATCCTCTGCCTTTTGCATTTCAACTCAGATGTAACTGTCTCAGGAAAACTCTGCAAGATTTTAAGTTTGTGATGATACACATTTATTATCATGTCTGTTTGCCTAAAATTTTCTCCTTCCTCATATTTTCCACCAGCATAGCCATGCCTGCTCTTGCTTATTGTTTTACCCTGGAGCTTGGCAAATAGTAGAGCCCTCAATAAATATTTGTGGGAAAAAGTAAAGGTGAGGGCAAGGCAGAAAATGGGGGCCTAAGTATTTAAGAAGCAGACTCTGCAGGGTATTTAATTACAATGATGATTTCACAACTTCCCTGTGGTTTGGAGAGTTCAGAACTGAACCAATATGACTCCATTAATTACCTGGAGTTTGTAAAGAGAGATTTGACTTGACATGTAGTCAGCCTAGGTTGTTTTTCGCTGAGGAGCATGGACATGTATTCAGGAAGTTAAGACAAGTCTATCCCCCTAAAGAAACCCCATGTTTTCCAAAATTAGTTAAATCCCATCTAAACCAATGCTCAACAGCGAAAACATTCATTCAGCAAGTCTTCACTGAATGCTGACTTTGTGCGGAGCAGTGGAAGTTACTGGGATGCAAAGAAATGGGGAAGACATTTTATCAACTTTTACGATATCTAGTCAATTGGAAAAGAGATATTAAATGAGGACACACATATTTACTTTGAAATAGTTGGTAAATGATCTGAAGGTAACGTATGGCCAAAAATGATGAAAATTGATAAATTTAAAATATTCACATACAGTTTATATGTTATATACAAAACATACAGCTAGAATGGTCATATATGTTATTGCATCTACTGTACAGATGAGAATTGGAATTTTCCATTCTCTGGTACATTTTGCTCATATAGGTTTTTTTGGAGAAACCAAAATACTTTTAGCTAATTTAATATGTAATTTCCTCCATTCTCATTTCAAATAATTACTGTTATATTGCACCATCATTTTCTATGGATTTTAGATGTTATTTGAATGCTAGTCCTATTTTTACCAAGTAAATCTATAATGCTCATGTTTTGTAAACAAAGAATGATATCAGAATACCTTCCTTTTGTTGTGAGAAAAGGAAAATGAAACTCCAAAATGAAACCAGCTCAAAGCCATAATGAAGCCAAGTTTATAAGACATTATAGAAATCAAGGAATGACTATTTAATGAACAAATACTACTACTGAAATATTATCTAAGTAATTAAATATATTAAAAGAGCCCATAAAAGACATTCCTGACTTTAGGGTAAATTCAAACAGTGAAGATGCCATAATTGAATCATAACAGAAACCTGACAATAGCTATCATTTATTGAGCACTTATTGTTTATAAGCACCGTACATACATTTCTCTCATTTAATTGAAATAAGTTCTATGAGTTAGGAACTATTACCATCTAGATTTTACATCTGATTATAGAGACTAGATCCTGAAACTTTGCTTAGAGAGCCTGATCAATAAAACAAATATGAGGAAAATGCCATTTTATAAAGAAAGGATTATGGAAAATATTTCTATATCATTTCAGAAAATTGAACAATGCACTATAAAAAATACACACAATTATAGCTGGATTAATTGGCTCAAGGATTTATATATATTATTTGTTTTGAGAAAGTACAGAAAAAATGATAATACTGTGAAAAACAGGCTTTTAAAAGATGATGCAAACCAAGAGGCAGTAAATAATCATTGGTAAATTTGACTACAAATTCTTTACAGTGTTTTTTGTTTTTTGACTGGCAGAACACCCTGATACAAAATTAAAATATAAATGACAGAAAATTCTCTTCTGAGTAAAATTTGTAGGTGATTAGCAGCAAGCTAGTGTTTCTGCTGTAATGACTGGAAAAACTGGATAAACTACAACAATAATATTTAAAAATATGGAAGGTAACTGTGACAACAAAAAGGTCTTGAACTAAAATTTTAGAGAAGAACTTTCTTTAGGTGGGGTGACAAAAGCCAGATGATTTCTTTCTCCAAGGCATTTCCCAGTTCTGAGTACAAGTGACAATTTACCTGGGCTTTTGCTTAGGTGCTGTGCTAAGCTTCTAGATTAAAAAACTCTAGCAGAGATTTGGGAGATCATTCTAATTGGTATGATGGATGATAATTTAGAGAGGCCCTATACACATGGCTGGTTTTACCCACCAAGTATGGTGTGGGAGATTTGAAGCTGCATGTAGCAAGAGCTGAAAGAGACATGCTCAAAACCTCTGACATGCAGAACTGAACTTTTCACTGTCTTTTAGGACTGAGGCTTTCTGGTTTATAAATTAAAAGCTTGTAGTGGGTGTCTCACTGGTGAGTTTCAGTCCTGGGCAAGTTCACCCTGGAGACTGAAAAATGATAATGGAACATTCTTGGGGTGAAGAGTTTATACCCAGCTTTATTCTCATGGTGACAGGTAAAGCACTAGAACCCCATCCACCTCAGGGCAAGTCTGCAGGCAGCAAGCTGGTCTCTGCTTCTTAGTCTCTCCACCCCCTCAGCAGTCTCAGTCTCTGTCCTCGGCACTGCCACCATGCCAGCCTCTGCTCTCCTGCAGCCGTGTATTGCCCACATGTGCGCAGGGAGCAAGCAGACCAGGATCAAGTGACAATCCTGACCAGAGGAACTTTTATTTTCTCTACAGCATATTTCATAATGGTTACTTTCCCCTCTGCTGTCTGTGGCACAAGTAGTTTTCTCCAGTCTGTACCGTAAGAACCTGGAGTTTCTTGTAGATAAAAACCCATGAAAGTAGAGGGTTTCTCTAAGATTAGACCCCCAGATATTTTTAATTATCAAGCCAGTCCATACAGGGCCTCTATAAAAAAGTCAATTCTCATTTTATATTATGAAACACTGGCTCCAGGTGGTAAACTGATCTCAGCTGTGATTCTTTATATTCACCTGTCTTTCCAGTCTTTCCAGATTTCAAGGCAGCAGTTTGCCCTGTGCCCTCCGTTTTCTGGTGGATATAAGAAGACTTGTTGCCTTTCAGATTCATCCGGCGATGACTTCCAAGCTCTACGTGTCGGAACGGAAACAGTAAGTCCTGATCACTTTCCACTAGTTCCTTGCTTTGCAGCTGCCCCGGCAGCACTAATGATGAAGGTTCACAGCGCTGTGTGAACGAAGCCTGTTCTTACAAATTATTGAGGTGCTTTTTTTTTCCACTATAAATTCAAGCTGGGATAGACAAGATTTGTTTTAATTTCCCTTTCTTGGCCACACATATTTTCTAGTCTTTTGTTTCTCTGAATGTGCTGTCTTTTACAATCCCTATTTTATTCAAAGTTCTCATTTACAGTATCTTATGTTGTTCTAGCCCAGGGCTTTGTCCTTATCCTCTAAGGGTTAACGGAGATCAGCAAAAATATTTTCTAGTCTTTTGTTTCTCTGAATGTGCTGTCTTTTACAATCCCTATTTTATTCAAAGTTCTCATTTACAGTATCTTATGTTGTTCTAGCCCAGGGCTTTGTCCTTATCCTCTAAGGGTTAACGGAGATCAGCAAAAGCCCTCAGTAAGCCACAGCTTCTGACACTATTTACCACTCTGGTTTCCTGACCCTGCTTCACTCTTGACTGCTCACGTTGTTGCAAGTTCAGATGGGAACATAAAGGTTGTTTGGTCCATTATTTTTAGTCCAAATCATCCCGATATCTTTTTGCGAACATGTTTTCAGTTTCTTTGTTGACTTGTTTTGGATATCTAGTCCAAAAGCTCTTTCCTTCCTGGTTCTTAACTGTATTGTGAAAAGTTCAGACCATAGAATAAGTGATCACTGGGTCACAGAGATGTTGTAGCTGTCATTCATTAATGGAAGCTGTTATTCACCACCCACGCGCCAGGCGCATGGAATGCTAGAATGAGCAAGACTTCATTAAATATTTTCCGTATCCTTTAAGGTATTTCCATCTAAGCATGTTGGGAGGAAAAATTAGCCCCTTTTCCCTACTAGGTTCTCTGGTTGGTCTAATAATTAAATTGACATAAGATAAACAGGAGAAAAAATTAATTTTATAGATACAGGAGCTCCACAAAAATATGAGACTGAAAAGTGACCAAATCAAGAAGTTTTCATATCTTTTAGACAAACATTAAATTTGTGAAGAATTGACAAGACAAAGAAGTTTGGGTTTGGGGTGGGGAATTAGTAAAGAAGTAACAGGTTTGTTTATACAGACTTCTTGGCTCTAAACGCCCTATTTCTGGTGGTAAGGATACCTTCCCCCTTCCTGGTAGGGGGAGGGTGCCTTTCACATGAAGATTTACTTCTGACATTCAAGCGGGACAAAATAGGTCAGAATGTCCTTCTTTTATGAGGTGTTTCTCAAGTGACTTTAATTCAAAATAATCAATATGCTAAAATGTGTATTTTGGGGTGCCTTATTATGTTCCCCTTCAAAAAAAGAGGCAAAGTTAAAATGGTGTCTAGAAAAACTGTGCTAGAGGTACATGTACGGAGTGCTGAGAACACGGTGAGGAGAAAAATGCCTCAATGTGCGTTATTGGATGAGCAGTGTGGGAACCGGGGGAAAACTGAGTGGAGAAGGTAACAGTCGAGGGGAAACTGGAAGAATGACTGGAAATGTTTTGCATCTAAAAGGATGTGTAGTGTTTTCCAATAATCAGAAACAACAAACACAGAATTAACAAGGGGAAGTGCATTTCACACTGCATTTTGGTGTGCCTGGCAAGCTGTGGTGGTGGGAGAGAAGAGTAGAGGAGAAATGCATAAGTCAGACCATGTGATGGTTTTGATGTTAAAGTCTGGGTTGTACTTTGAAGATGACATAAGATATGTGCAGTATTTTAAGCAGAGGAATAGGTGCATGGTGAGAAACGTGCTTTAGAAAAACCATGTAATATAGAGCGGTGGTTCTCATAACTCAGCAAGTGTCAGAATCTCCTGGAGAGCTTGTCAGTACCGGGTATCTGTGCACAGAACCTCTAGAGCTTCTAAATCTGGCTGGTGTGTGAGGATTTGTGTTTCAGAGAGAGCCATCTTCTTACGTCCTCACACAGCCTTTCCTTGGTGGATATGCACGAAAAGATTTTTCTCTCCCTACCCTCCACGCTACACCTCTAGCTTTATTGAGGTGTAAGTGACAAATGAAATTATAATGCATTTGACATGTACAGGGTGATGATTTGACAGTGATACTGCTGGTCTGAGGATCATACTTTGAAAATCACTGATGTAGGGGATGATTAGACTAAATGAAGGACAGGCATGATAACAAGGCCATTAGTCACAATTGATTTAATGTGAAAGCAATAAAATCCATCAACCAGGTACAAACAAAATGAAACAGAAGAAGCAAAAACAAAAGTATTGACTCAATTTAGTTACATTTTAGTAAAGAGACAAGTTTGGAACATCTTGCCATAGCATATATTCTTGAGGGATCCCTGTGACCCTCTTCTCTCCTGAGCTTTCCCATCACCCATTCTTTTCCTCATTCCCTAACTAGTCTGTGAAGTACCTATTTAGAGGTCCAGGAAGGAGTAAAGCTACAATATACAAAAGAAACAGAAGAAACAAGAGCAATGGGTTAAAAAATACATGTATTATTCTTCAGTTTTAGTGATTCTGTATTTTATGGAATAACTTTTTACCTACTCGTGGGCCATCATAATTTTAGGTGCTAAGGCTTCTGATATCTTGCTCTGGTTTTGAGTAAAAGATCTGAGAAAAGACCAATAAAAAAGAAAATCAAAGAACTTGGAAGGAAGTAAAACATGCTGAGTCCTGGGACATGAACAGAAGAAGGGCAAAACGTGAGAGCTGAAGTAACTGAAGGATTTTTAGGCACAATAATTTATTATTAGTTTATTAAGTATGAGTGAGGATTAGGTTAAGGCATTCGTGCTGCATACAGCTCCCCATCCCGCTGCCCCATAACTTGGTTCCGTAGTCAGGTTTTGAGCTGTTTAGCTGGCTTTTGGAGAGGCAATGTAAAAACTGAAAACTTCCAGTCTCTCAAACCACTTGCTCTAGTCATTACTCAGTGAAGATTGCACAAGCATTTGTATGTTAAAGTGGGAGGCAGAGCAAAAGAACTTTGGTGTTCGAGAGTCTGACAATTCAGGTTAGTAGGATAGAGCTTTCTGTTAATAGGGTTTTTAAGTATTATTAATCTTAAAGTGTGGTTTGGTCTTGAATGTTAGCACATTTTTTGGATACAAAATGTCATCTACTCTATTTGACTCTGGAGGTAATGATAGAAAGTATCCATTGTTTTTCATTTTCACTTAGTAGTCTGCTTTTAAACCTGTGGGCATAGATTTCCCCAGGGATTACAATCCTGCTCAGCATTGGCTCAGTGTTAGGAAACATGGGGCCCAGTAGAGTAAACCAGTTTTTAAAATTGTATGTTTGGTGATGCATTTTCTGTGATAAGAAACAAAGGTACTTCATTTTTGTGAAATTAAACTTTAAAAAAATCTCAATGCATAGCTTTTCCTTGGTTATTCAGTATTTCCTTATTGAACTATCAGTGTGATTGTTGTTTGATTTTGAAAATTCTGTCACTCTGTCCTAGATGACATTATCTTCAGCCTTAAACTGTCTGGAATGTTCTTCCCAACTTTCTACAAAGTTTCTTTCCTCACTTAACTCTATATAAATTCCTTTACTCTTTCCCATGGAATTTTATTTCAGGGCTTTTTCTTTCCTGTTTCTTTTATTTTACTGGTAAAGGCATTGTAAATTCTTCAAAGGTAAAGACTGTTGTATTCTTACCTCTGTATCTCTGTTAGTCTGAATGTATTTATTAACTCAAAGATTACCCCTCACTTCTTTCACCAGCTATTATTTCTTCTCTTAATCTGAAATCTCCGTTATCATCCCTCTGAGACATAAATGCTGCATATTCTTAAATTCTGGGCATTGTTTTATAAAACTCTTATCTGTAAATCATGTATCCACCAAAAAAAATAATGACCACCAGGAGAACGAGACAGGATTTAAGATAACTACAAAAATGCATTTGTAAGATAGAAATCACAACTTGTCCTCATTAATACTAAAAATATAGGGCTTTGTTTTTCACATTCTGAAACAGTTACATATAAAATTAAAGAATGAGAAGGTTCAGTGCTCTCTTAGTATTTGACTAAACACAGAATTTAGAGAGACATTTCTTAAAAATCATTGTTATATTTATACTTCAGGTCCTAATATATCTTTTTACCACTTATTGTATTTCCAAAAATTACTTTTAAAATAAATTACTGTTGGGCTTCTTTTCTTCTTCTCTGCACATTCTAAGTTGGAAGACATGAATGAAAGGATTTTTGTATGTGGTACAATTTGCAGTGTCTTATACGTATTGGCATGTTCTAATGTGCTCATTATTGGTTACTATAATATATAATAAAAATGAAAGTTGAATATAAAGTTTCTTAAAGATCTTTGGATTGAGGGTCTTTGCCTCTGGACTGCACAGCTTGTCTTCCAGATTTATAATGCAATCTCCTATTTTTAGTACTTGAATAATGTAAAAAGAAGGCACGTTACTTGCCTTTTCTTTCTGCAGCAGGCAGCTGCTGTTCCCACTGGCAACATTGTTATTCATGTACAAAGACCAAGCTGCACAGACCAATTCATGATCAAGCAGGAGTAACTGTGAATCAAAAGGGTGCTGTGGGAAAATTCAATCAGGAAATGTAAAAATCTTTTTGGATATCAATGAAATCTTCTTTTACAACATTTGTTCTAAAATGTACATAACTGTGCTGCATACTACAATACTAATTTTTAATTTGGCATTTTTTTCTTGGCCATTACTTGTGATTTTGCTAAAATTAAATATGAGGACAATGAAAATCCTATAGCTGATGAGTTGAAAATTCTAAGGTACTGAGAAAACAACCACATCACGTCTTGTGTCAGGTAGCATAGCAGTGAGCTAACCTTCCCCCTTTAGCTAGAATCTGGACGGTGGTGCACCACGGACCTATCGCTGTGCACAACAGAATGTGGGCAGATGCTTAACCTTTTGTGACATGAAGCAGGGTGCTGTGTGTCTGAATTAAAAT